GTGTGGCAGCATAGCTGCGCTCACCTGGTTGCCGCCCTGGCCATGACACCCGTACAGTCCCACCGGCTTCTCCTTCTCATGCCGACCCACAGCACAGTCCATACAACGATCCGAATTACCGCCCAGATTCCGCACCTCAACACAACCACATGCCGCCAAGACCGGACACACATTCGAGTCATTTCGTTTCAACACAACAATTCTTTTACATCGACTGGGTCAGCGCTTTGAGTAGCAGAATTTACCGATCCATGCATTGCTCTATTTGGATGCAAAGACATTACGAAAACAGACGAGATAGTAAGCAAAAATCCCGAGTTCTGGTGAATTCGTTGCAAAAGTAGACAATCGCCGGCTGACAGAAATAAAGTCGTCAGATAGAAACTTCGATAAGCAATTTTATCTCAACCCTAGAAAACATCTTTTATATGTTAGCTGTTTTTTCAAAAAGCTAAAAAAAAAATTCCTTCTGGTCTACTCCTTAATTAAGATCTGATCCATTTTGAAAATTTAACATTACTTTTCAAACTAGAAAAATTTAGAAGGAGTACCATTGCAGAAACAGCATGCATTGTTCTAAAATTAATTATAAAATTTCTGACAATAAAAAACCCGAATAAAAGAAAAATCGAAAAGAACTAAATCCAGTAACTATCCAGACCTAACACCCTAAATGACCCTTTGTCTCATAACATCTATGGAAAAAAATGCTGAATAAACAAAAGAAGATTTCCAGACGCTGACCCATATCGTGCGAATTAAACTTCGATTTTTCACTACAGACGGATTTGCGCCAGATTCTGGCCAACTAAGGACACGATAACAGACATTATCAACGACTGAAAGAAAGCTGCGTGAGAGTTCGCTGATAAAGTCATGCACATTATCAAAGGTTTTCCGAACTGGACAACAGTTACATATGCAACACTACATGTAGTTACAATCAAGCTGGTTTTTAGTCTAACACTGTCGGAAAGCTCTTTTCAAAATTAGGAAAAACAACAGCACACATATGCACACATGCTCCAGTTA